AGAGAGAGAGAGAGAGAGAGAGAGAGAGAGAGAGAAGGTGAGAAGGGAGGGACATGGAGAGAGTGAAGAATGACCCTTTTAAGACCCAATTATCTTGCAAATACTGTAAACTGTTACAAAAAAACCAATACTAAACATGACAAAGGCACCCTTTGTTAAGAAGCAAACACGGTAAAAATTCAAAGCATAAAAAAAAAGACAAAACAGACCACACATACCAGAGCGCCCACCAACTACCCCAGACGCGAGATCAAGTCGCAGCAGAACGCCGTTGATCATTCGGTTAATGACTGGAAAGAAAATGGTCAATTCTAATAACACGATTATTTGAACACAATCTTTTCCTACCTACGTTTAATCTTCTCTCAACACAATTACCGACAAAGACTCGAGAGAAACAAAGACAAAGGCCAGCCGAATATATTATTTTTTTAAAACACGATTAACCATTTGGCGTTTTCAACAAACGTTTTTCAACACACCTGTGCACACCTGTGATCATTCACGACGTACGTGACGTCACAAGTAGCCACATCATGCCTGAAAACATATGGAGTGGACACAACACGCCCAAACTTCAACACTTCCGAGGGCCACGATGACTTAGGTGCCGTGAAGATAAATGAGAACATCCACACAAAAAACAACAACTTGGAATTCTAAACACTCATGACAGATTCCTTATTCCTTCAACGGCGGCAAAAACTGTTTACCCCACCTTTGAACGCTCACAGCAGGCCCAAAAGTGGAGATCAGAACAGGTGAAAAAATCACAAGTGACAGCATTCCGCGAATAAATAACTAACTACCATTCCACAGAATCTTCGCAGCACGTCTAGACTTCAAACTACAAAAGGCGTAGTAAATCCGCGCTGATGGGGCGACCAACACCAACACCAGCACACAGACACACAGAGAGAATGGACTACCACAAAAGATCCCCCTCATCGGTTTGTTGTTCACTGGAACCCTTCTTCTCCCCCACCCTGCACAAACGGCCGGTTCTGCTTCACAGCTCCCTGAACCCCAGGCACGAACCCGTGCGTGCTGTTACACCACTGACATCTATCTCCAACACCGCTCTCAAAATTTGGTTTGGTTTCCTTGGGTTTTGTTTTGTTTTATTTCCATTTTGTTTTGTTTTAAACACAGCGAGGCACACACGGACGTGTCCTCAGGCCAAGTTTTAATATCTTACTTATACAGAGGCTTCTTCTTCCATCTAACAGCTCCTCGCTAGTTTTCTTCCTCTTGTTCTTTTTTAACAAATATTTTATTTTCAACTGTACACGTCTCACTAACGTTAAAGGTCGCCCACAGTCAGAGCAAGACTTGCGTATCACGACTGAACCGCAATTATCATTTTTTTTCTTCCAGAAATCAAACACACCCAAGAAATCTCAAAAGCCCGACACGAATATTCATGTACCACATGCAGCGGCAGTCTTTCCCCCCAAATCCGTTTCTTTGTTTGTTTGAGTAAAGAAAAGAACAGCGACAAAGTGCAGGGGAAAAGTAAGACTGAAGACAGACAGACAGACAAACAAAGAAGTATGATTAAACAAATCAAGGAATACAATTTACACAAAAATTCAAGTACTTTCCAAAACAAAAGTAATTCATATCGGTCTGTTCGCTTTTAGTTGTTGTTGGTTTTTTTTTTTTCGTTCTTTCCTTTCATGAAAAATAACATTTTGTCAATCCCGATAAGCCAGTTTGGCTCTGAGCGCACGACGTGTTACCTATACGCTAGATTATCGCAACCCCACCAGCGTGCCCGTCAAATGAGAGCCATAAAATTTGAATGCGAGATTTGGCACACACAGAGCTCCGGCCGGCTGGCCTGTATGGCCCGACACTGTGTCGTCGACAAACCCTGAAGGAAATTATGAGGCCGGTATCGTGCCGATGTGTACAAGTTTTGCTGCACCCACAGAGCGAGCTGCTCATCTTTTTATTGTTTGTTTGTTTGTTTGAGTAAACAGAAGCACATCGACACAATAATGGTCAATTTGTGGTGGGGAAGAGAAAGACAGAACAAGAACAAACATAAAAGAGTTTTAGATGAATAAAATGTGGATGTGAGCGCGCGCGCGCGCGAGTGTGTGTGTGTGTGTGTGTATGTGTGTGTGTGTGTGTGTGTGTGTGTGTGTGTAT